CACTGAGAAGGAGTCAAAGGAGTATTTATATGAGCACTCACATAGAATGCACAATCAGACCTCTGTCTAATGGAGTTGCAGCCTCTTGAGAACCTGAAATAGCAGCCGAGGGGGAAGGGGTTGTGAAGAGCAGGAGAGAGAGAAAAATCTCAACCAGGACTTGGTTCCAGTCAAGCTCTCAAGATGCCTTTTCTGCTGAGGATGCCACAGACATTTCTCAGAACTATGTTTTACTGTTCTTTAACCATCTTTCAGTTTTGGGAATAGTGACCTCCTCAGGGAATCACAAATGCAGGAAAATATAAAATAATAAAGACTGAAATGAAACAAAATCTGAATAACTGGGAGGAAAAAAAAATTATATTAATCACCTATAATTCAAGCCAGTAAGTAAGCGGTAAGTAAGTAAGTACATCTAAACTTCACTGTCCAAAATCGGTTCCCTCTACATTTTTGGACAAACCACTTCTCTCCTCCTCATCCTCAGGCTTAAAACTTTAGGGTCATCTGGGAGTCCTCCCTCTCCTTCAAATCCTACTTAGACCTCAAGTCCCACAGAGTCTTCCTTCAACATCTCACTTCAGTCACTTAGTAGTTTTCATTGCATACCTACCTATGCTAGTCTCCAGGAGACTATGATGGCAGGAATGGGAGGACAGGCTGTGGAAGTGTGTACAGAAATGCCTAAGAAATAAGTCTGCTAATAAGGATATGAGTGGTTGAGAAATAAGTACTACAAAGATTCTGAAGTGTACGATGATGTCTGACTGGGGTAATCAGGAAACGCTTCCGGAGGGGAGGGGAGGAGTACACTCAAGCTGGGCCTTGAATCCTGGGTCTGACTTTAATTAGATGGAGCTAGTGGAGGCAACTGGGAAGGAAAACACTCAGAAAATAGTGATTACAGGTGGCTGAATGGAGCTAAATGTTCAAGAGGGGAGTGTTGAGAGCAAAGGCTGGGACCAGGTAGTGGCAGTCTTTGAATACCTGGCTCAAAAAGAAAAAAAAAAAACTGTTGCCATCGAGTCGATTTCAACTCATAGTGACCCTATAGGACAGAGCAGAATGGCCCCATTGGGTTTCCAAGAAGCAGTTGGTGGATTCGAACTGTTGACCTTTTGGTTAGCAGCTGTAGCTCTTAACCACTACACCACCAGGGCTCCAAAAGAGGCCTTTAACCCCTTAGGTGGCCAGGCCATTTCCCTTCCATCACTTGCACCCTCTGTACATCTGACATCTTTTACCAGTAACACAGGTGCAAAACAAAGTTGTTGGTAGCTGCCTATCGGACCAGTGGGTGTTCCTTACGCATTTACTATTTGGACAGGCTGCTGCTGTGGCTAACAAAAAACACTAACAAAGTTTGATTTTGGCTGAAGGATTAGAAAGCACATTTTATTCTGAGGATGCTTCAAAACCGTCAGCCTCCACACAACCCTAACTAGGGTTGTGATCTAAGATTGAGAATACCAACTTAATCCTAAACTCGCCTTCATTGTATGGCTCCCTTGCTCAAGGATCTACAATGACTCCTGTTACTTACACAGTCATTCAAATCCCTCTGCTTGGAATCCAAGGTTATGCATAATCCAACCTCACGAAACCTTTTCAACTTTACCTGTTTATTAACTACCTGTCTGTACCAACTTTCTTCTTCTCACAACAGGGCTAGTAGTTACAGAATCTTAGCGGTGCTAAATTTAAACTAGACAATAGTTTAGGCCATTTTTTTCAGGCATAAACAAAAAGGTAAATTTTACAAGCATGTTTATAAGAACTTGACAGTTCTTATCAAGGTGTCTTCTCAAAGTGTGTTTTGAATCTGAAAAAATACAAAATTATTGCTTTCATAAAGTATAAATGTAAGAGTTAAAAATGACACTGACACAGTAATGTTCTATATCTTTATAGGGTAGGGGTATGGATTATGCAAGTGTATGTATTTGTCAAAATGAGCAAAAGTACACTTAAAATTTGTACATTTCATTGGACATAAATTTTACACCAAAATAAAAAGAAATTGTAAACAAATACTGAACTCTAGTTAATGATATACATGCTGAAGTACTTAGGGGAAGCATTATTGATATCTGCAATTTAAATGGTGGGTAGGTTATGTGATAAAGCAAGTATATTAAAATGTTAATGCTAGACTTCAAGTGGTGGTTTTATGTCTGTTCCTTATAAAAATCTTCACTTTGCTGTTCATGTTTGAAAAAATTCCTTATGTTGGAAAAAATGACATTGAAAACACACTGTACATGTTAACATTATAAGCACTGATAACACGCTCAGTGGAATGGCAGCACTGGGCATTTATTTGCTCCTTGATGCTTCCATGGCACCTGAACATACTTCTTATGCCCCTTTCCACGTCTACTGTACTTATTCTGTTTACATGGTGTCTCTCCCACCACGATATGAGTTCCTGAATGGCACAAATCTAATCTATATTTATATTCCTATTGCTTTGCATCATGTTTGGTTAATAATATGTGCTCAAAAATGGTGGACTGTTCGAATGAAAGTGGAATATTCTAAGGATCACACAAAATATTCTATTTCTAGCAGATGCACCAAGAAGCCGGACTATCTATATGAAGAAGAATGGGGCATCAGGATTGGAGGAAGATTCATTAACAACCTGCAATATGCAGATGACACAATCTTGCTTGCTGAAAGTGAAGAGGACTTAAAGTACTTACTGATGAAGATCAAAGACCACAGCCTTCAGTATGGATTACACTTTAACATAAAGAAAACAAAAATCCTCACAACCGGACCAATTAGCAACATCATGATACATGGAGAAAAGACTGAACTTGTCAAGGATTTCATTTTACTTGGATCCACAATCAACACCCACGGAAGCAGCAGTCAAGAAATCAAATGATAAATTGCACTGGGCAAATCTGCTGCAAAAGACCTCTTTAAAGTGTTGAAAAGAAAGATGTCACCTTTGAAGACTAAGGTGCGCCTGACCCAAGCCATGATATTCTCAATCGCATCATATGCACGCGAACGATGGACAATGAATAAGGAAGATCGAAGAAGTGACGCCTTTGAATTGTGGTGTTGGCGAAGAATATTGAATATACCATGGTCTGCCAAAAGAACGAACAAATCTGTCTTGGAAGAAGTACAACCAGAATGCTCCTTAGAAGGAAGGATGGCAAGGCTAAGTCTTATATACTTTGGACATGTTGTCAGGAGGGATCAGTCCCTGTAGAAGGACATCATGCTTGGTAAAGTACAGGGTCAGCGAAAAAGAGGGAGACCCTCAACAAGATGGACTGACACAGTGGTTGCAACAATGGGCTCAAGCATAACAACAATCGTGAGCATGGTGCAGAACCGGGCAGTGTTTCCTTCTGTGCTGCACAGGGTCGCTATGAGTCAGAACCGACTTGACGGCACCTAACAACAACAGATGCACTTTATTCACTTCTCACGTATTCTGAAAGTTAATATGTTCAGTTTTCAAGAGAAAGAGTTAATGTCCTTGACTCCCTCCCAAACATGAAAGATTTCCAAAAACAAAGACTTTAAAAACAATACAAACTCATCTGTACCCACGAGATTATTTTGTATTCTATTACTTAAACCCGAAATTTGAAGGCCTGATTTTACAGAAATCCATAATTTTTCAGTAGATACATTTTCTAAAAGAGCAAACTCTCAGAATTCCAAGGAAGTCTACAATTTGTTTTTTTCAAATCTTAGATAAGCCGTCAGAACTAAGAGATCCCCGAACAGGTCAAAAGCAGGAAACTGGGCATCTAGGGAAAAAACAAAAACCACGTAAAAAAAGTCGTGAACCAAATTAACCGAGAACTGTACCAAGAAACTGAGGGTACTCTGAACATCTCTCCTCCCCTCTCCAATTACAGCCAGTCAGAGACTGGCACCGCCCGGCCGCTCCCAAGATCCCACGCGACTGGAGCTGATGCCGCTATAGAAGCATCCTTTCACGTCAACCTCTCAGAGACAACGCTGTTTCGTGGAGTGAGCACCTGATTCTGAACTGGAAGACGGAGGTGCGAGTCCCAGCTCCCCCACCTGCCTAACCTGCGGCCCCGCACAAGTCTCTTCCACTGGCTAGGCCTCAGTTTCTTAATCTGTAAAATGGTAATGATTATCCTAATCCCGTCCACCGGGGAAATGAGGGGAGTAAAGAAGATACAGGACTCTCAGTTTTGTTATGGCTCTTAAGCACGCGGTGCTCACCAACCAACCTCGATAACAGTACTTCACAGTCATCTCTATTCCTCACTCCCTGCCTGCCTGGCGCCTGTGTTGAGGCCGCTCCCTCCTGCTGGCCCCCAAGCGGAAGCCGCGCAGCTCCGTCTGCCGTACCTGCAGCCACCTGGTCAGCGGGACCCTCCTGCTGACCCATGACGAAGTCGTGCACGAGGCCCCACAGGGCGCCCACAGGCGCCACCGCCTCCAGAGCGACAGCGGCGGCCATGACGCGAACTAGAGACCGTGGGAGGGGAAGTAGGCGGTGGCGTGGAACGGATCTCTCAGCGCATGCGCCTCATGAGCCAATCACCGGGCTAAGATGAAGGGGGCGGGCGCTCCCTGGATCACGTGCCTGCCGGCTCCTTGCCGGGCGGTTCCAAGGAGGGATGGGACGGCCCCCCCTGAGGGGCGGGGCCTGTGAGCGGGGCGGTGGGGCGGGGAGGGAAGGCGGCTGCTGGGCACGCAGGCTAGGGCCATTGAGGGCGAATAATTCTCGCCCGGGCTCCCCTAGAGACGGGAGATGGGGCGGGCACCTGGCCGGGTGGGGCCGAGGGGCGGTGCGCACCTTTGAGGGAAGCCAATGAGAAAATCAGGCCCGGCCCGAGGGGGCGGTGCCGTCGGGTCACATGCGCACCTGGGGCGGGCGGTGGCAGCGCTGGCATCTTGAGCCGGCGGAAGGGAGCGAGGCCGGGCTGGGGCGGGGTTAGGCAGGTGAGTGACAGGCTCCGGGGAGACGGCCCCAGCTGGGATCTCAGAGCGAGCCCGGAGTAGCTGCTGCGGTGCCCGCCCCCTTTCTTCGCCACTCCAGCGGAGCTGGTCTCCGGCCGGGCTCCGTCGCGGGCCTCCCTGGCCCGGCCACCTGAGACTGTGCTGGGGAGTCGGCCACTTCCCTCTCTCCCCTCGCCCGCAAAGTTTGTGGCGAAGCCGGCGCCGGGGCAGAGCGCGCCGCCAGAGGGAGACCGGGGAGCGTCCGATGCCGGGCGGCGGGAGCCGTTGACCCGGGACGCCGCCGTCCGGGGCCGGAGCGCTGAGCAGCCGCCCACCCCGCCGCCTCCGGTGCATGGGGCCTGGCTGAGGAGCCAGCATGGGCAACTGCGTGGGGAGACAGCGCCAGGAGAGGCCGGCTGCCCCGGGACACCCCCGTAAGCGAGCAGGTAACGACAGGGAAGGGAGCAGGGCTACGGGCACCCTGCCAGTTGTCCCCCCTCCTTGCCAGAGTCCAGGGCGTCCCGAGCGACCACCCACGGCTCCTGGCGCCTGAGGTTTTCCCGATGGCTCCTCGGGAGCCATCCCCAGTTCGAGGTGTCCGGAGAAGCTGAGTTGGGGAAACTGCGAGCGCTGACCCGGCTGCGAGACCAAGTCGCTCCAGCTGGGAAGCTCTTGGTGGGGGTGGGGTCAGGAAATGTTTTCAGACAGCCACGGGGCCGACGGAGGGGAGGGCCCGGGGCGAGGGCGTCGCTGGCCTGGCACCCCGGCGGGGGTCGGACGCCTGCCCGTCGGGCGCGGGCAGCCGGGCGTCTCCAGAACTCCGAGCGAGGGAGGCTAGAGCAGTCACTCCTTCCAAAGACTGACTGTGTCATTATCGGGCTTGCTGATCGTGTCTGCTGGAATCCGACTTGCAGAAGCAGCGCAGGACTCTGGGAAAGAAATCTTTATTTTTCCCGCAGGGCTTTTTAAAGCCTCCTGGCCGTCTGGGAGACTAGAAAAGGTGGGATAGGGGGGTGAGAATCTCCCTCGGGTTTGTTGGGATCCTTCCTAGCCTTTAAAATGGGATCTGCTCGCTGATGATCCGCGAGGGCCAGGCAGCGCCTTCTCACTTTCTTGGTACACCCCTCCTTATCCTGGCGATTCGCTCTGGGAAGAGGTCTGGCGGCCGTTTCCCCGGGGCTTGTACTCACTTCCTTCTGTGACAGTGTTGCAAGGACCTTCTGAGAATGATAAAATTGTAGACTTTGAGGGCTGTAGGGGACCTTAGAAAATTGTCTAGATTCCAGATGTACCTATCCCCTCCTCTCTAAATCCAAAAGCCGAGATCCAGAGAGGTTGAGCAACTTGCCCAAAGCCACACAGCATGTTGGTAGTACAACTAGGGCTAGAACCCAGTTTCCTCTTCACCCAATTGCCACATAACATTTATGTAAGAGGAGCCACAGGGGGAGTTGTTAATGAAGTGGAAACTAGTTGGAGTTTCCTATCTCTTTTGACACGGAAGGTGTGTTGCTTGGGGTGCTGAAACTGGAAAGGAGGATGAGGGGAAGCAGAGAAGGATGTCTGTGTGGTGGACAGGATGACTTGGGGAGGAAGAAACATGTTTTTATAAGAAGAATGGGGTAAAATTTAAAATCCCCTTGTCTGAAGGCAATCCCAGCCATTCTTCTGACTGAGAAAGTTGATTCTGAAACAAAGGCTTCTTTCCTTCATTCGTTCATTCAATAAATATTTATTATTTATGTGCTTGTCCTGTTAATTGATTTTGTAGCATTTTTGGCCGTTCACAACCCTCTCCTACTTGAAACTCCCCCTTCCTTCTTAGCATTAGACTGTCTTGGTTTTCTTCCCTGATCGCCCTGCCCACCAAGTATTTCCTAGGTGTGGGCACACCCATGGCTCCCTTTGACATTCTCCCTTTTCTGTCATTACACTCCTTGCCATAGAAATCTTATTCAGTCCCACAACTGTTTGTCCACTGAGAAGACCCCTGTGCTGTTATCTTCGACTGTTACCTCTCTCTTGATCCCCAGTCCTGCCTCTCTAAAAGACTCTTTGATCTAGATATCCTGAGATTCACCACCTCTCAAAACCAAGTTCTGCCGTCTCTCCCCCTCAACCAGCTTCCCTTCCTTACTCTTACATTCTCCCAGCTGCCTAACTTTATACCTTGTGGAACTCTCCCTGCTGACTTTGTCTGCCTCCACGTTCTCTGCCTCCCAGCCAGCCAGTCCCTGGGGCCTGCTGGTTCTTCCTTCAGCAGGACTTACAGATCTGTTCCTTCCCACTCTACTTCAAGGCTTTGTTACCACACGTCCAATTCCAGTCTCAAATTGGTTCACCACCAAAGACAAGTTCATCATCAGTCATTCATTCAACGCAGAGTGCCTGCATACGGTCATCCCCCCAGAAGAAGTTTAATTTAACCCCGTGGTGTCACTAGAGGGATGCAGGGGTTGCAGACCACACCTGGTGACTCTGTCAGAGGGGGTAACACCAAAATGACTGTCTATAAAATTTTTGCAGTGTTTCAGCAGAAATTTATTATTTTTAATAAAAATACCCCTGTAGTTATAAAAACAAAAATATTTTTCATAAGTTCAGCTTACAAGTATCATTATGCCTACAAGGCTAAAACTCTATGCTAATTTACTTTTTGAACCTTCTAATCCTCTCCAGTCAGAGCTGTCATTATTACCCAATTCCAATGATGCTTTGAATCACGTGGTTTCATCTGCACCCGCTACAAGCATGCACTGTTGTTTTTGTCACTGCCAGTGTTTTTATAGTAGCTGATTTTGTCAAATTTCCTGGTGTTTTAGCTACAATATTGTGTTAATTAGTATTTGTGAACCAATATCAAGTTTTTTGGGAATGAAATAGTAATTAAAAGAAAAGAAGGAGTGATATAAAGGAATTACGATTTACGAGTAACATTGGTACAAAAAACATTACTGTATGATCTGGTACGGGCAGAGGTTCATGGGGGGGGAGGGTGACACCATGAGTTACCGCATTGGATGACACGAACCCTAGTAACACCACTGATTCAACCTGTTCCAAACGCTATGATTCTATTGTCAAAAATCTGTACCATCCCACTGTCTACAAGAACTTTAGTTTTCAGGGCTGTTCGAGTCTTTCCCTTTCAGGACCTAATTTTTTATTTTTCTCCTCTTCCCTAACATTAAGGGCACCAGCTTGTACCATTTCCACCTTCTTCTTATCAAGAGCCTGTCTTCCCTTCAAGGTCCACCCTGAATCACATATCTTTCTTGAAGAGCCTTCCGTGACAAGCTCCCCCAGTAGAAGTCATTGCTGCTTTTGAGAACTCCTGCAGACACATTATCTATGCCACTTACTTAACAGTCATCTACTCCATGTTATTAGTCGTGGCTTTGATGTTTACATTCTTATATCAGCAATTACATGGCAAGTCTTGAAGACTGGGTTCTAATTCTTAGCCTTGTCTCTCTCTCTCTCTCTCTCTCTCTCTCTCTCTCACTCACTCACACACACTGTCATACACATGCAGCACTTAGCACAATGACTAGTACTAAGGAAGCAGTCAGTATTTACTGATTTTAGAAAGCTAACCAGACTTCATCTTACTATCTGTATTTGTCATGTAAACATTTAACTGAAGTCATGTAAACATTTAACTGGTTGCTGTCGAGTCGATTCCGACTCATGGCGACCTATAGGACAGTGTAGAACTGCCCCATAGTTTCCGAGGAGTGCCTGGTGGATTCGAACTCCTCATCTTTTGGTTAGCAGCATTAGCTCTTAACCACTATGCCACAAGGGTTTCCTTTTACCTGCTGGTGTATCACTGTTTCAGTTCTGTGTGTCCTACTACGAATAGCTTTATTCATGAAGTCCAAATCCAAGAGGAACTCCATAGGATGACAGAAGTTTGGATGTAAGGGGAAGAATCCTTCTCAGCTTCACAGCGTGTACCTGGCACTCCTGTAACTTATCTACAGCTTACTCTTTGACAAGGGCATGGTTTTATGTTGTAAGGCTCATTCCAAAGTTGCCTAAAACTCCTCTAGCTCCCACTTAGAGCTGTGATCTTTCTTTTACCACTGGAGTACTGGGAAGAAACCCTCAACAGGGAGCTAGAACCTAAGTTAGATTCCTGGGCCTATAGCTGGGTGACCATGGGCAAGTCATCAAACCTCTTGGGTCACACTTTTTTTTTTTTTATTGTGTGCTTTAAGTGAAAGTTTACAATTCAAGTTAGTCTCTCATACAAAAATTTATACATACGTTGTTACGTGACCCTAGTTGCTCTCCCTGTACTGTGGGTCACACTTTCAATATCTCAGAAAGGAAGGGAGTTATACAAGATCATTATAGCTGTTTTTAATCATCTTCACAAAGGCACCTGTTCAAAACTGGAAAGTTACTGAGTTGAAATCTTACGTCTTGTAATGCCACCCTTTGGCCTTAGTCTGTCTTCTTAGTCTCTTGATGGGTGAAGCAGAGACACGACCCCCACTGGTTAGGGAGTCTTACGTTAGGTAGAAGGACTAGGTGGTCCTGTCATCTCAAATCAGCTTTGTGATTTCACTCTTAATATGTCTTCAGTAAGTCTATTCCCTCCTCCTGTCCCCCACCCCACCCCACCCCCCAGGGGCTGGCAGTCCTTGCAGGCTTCAGAGAATACTTGAGGATTTACTCCTCTGGAGGGTTACCTGTCATCCCATACATATCCCTGAGTAGATCAATATCTCTGCCCTTGAAGTGGATGATGCAGCCCCTCCCCCAGCTACCTCAGGCAGAAATAGAGGTGGTAGAACAGGCAAGTCTCTTGCTGGGCTCCACCCTTTGAGAATGTGGCAGGGCTGAAACCCAAATATCTGACTCTGTGATGTGCCAGGCGTATCCACTTATGTTCTGGAATCTCAAGCTCGGGTGGGCAGTCCCTGAGCCCTGTTTTGGGCTGGTTGGGCTTGGCACTGTGGTTGCAAGAAAGTCTGCTTCTTGTTGTGTGGGCTGCTGTGACTATTCTGGAGGGAGGAATTGGGCAACTTCTCCATTTGCTCGGTAAATATTTACTGAGTGCCAGGCACCATGCTGGCTGAATAGACATAGTCCTTGACCACATGGAGCTTACATTCTGGGGGAGGTGGATGGGGGGGTTGGCGGGGGCAGGAAAAGCAGATGATATACTCATAGTTATACAAATTACATATGCTTATCCATGTAAATCCTGTCTGATTATACATACAAGTATATATTATATATGCTGATGACTCCCACATTTATCATTTCAGTTCATGCTTTCCAACTGCTGCCTACTCAACACATCTAATGTCTAAAAGACTTTTCAGTTTAACGTGTCCAAAATAGAATTCCTGAGCCCTGACCCCCTGCTCCTCCCAAAGGCCTCCGCATCTCAGGTACTGGTGAGTTCCTCCTTCCAGTGGCTCAGGCCCCC